GAGTCCAAACTATGGTTCATAGGCACTATAGAGAATTGTCATATAATTGATAGCAATTTTTTTAGTATATGGAATGTTCCTAGCAGGGCGATCTTCTGGTCAACATGTATTTTAATGTTACCTGGGACACTGTTACTAAAATTTCCATTCCTTTTCCCACGAGGCACAGAGCTCTGGTTACTATTGGTCTCAGACTTCATTCCCTACATCCTGTTAAACTCGATTTCCAGGTGCTTATATTTTGACAATTTCTCGATAATTTTAATGAGGAATTTTCCCAGATGTTACTGCTATATCAATAAGTATACACTTCTTGAATTTCTTGTCTTTTATGATAATATCAGGTCTTTTGGCTTTTATTTCCCTGTCAGTTTGAATTGGCATGTCCCAGAGGATAGTTACTTCGTTATTTTGGGTAACTGTGTCTGCCTGATGATCATACCATCTCTCAGTGGTTTTGATTTTGTGCTTCTTGCTTATCTTCCAGTGTACATATGTCGCTACCTTGTTATGTCTGTGGGTATACACATTTATTGCTCGTTCGGGAGATCCTGATTATCATTATTTTTATTATTATTATATTCTTTGATTTCTAGCGTTTACACATTTCTTTCCGGGTCCCGCCGAGGGACCTAAGGTTAGAAATGGCATCATGGCACTTTTCACTGACAAAAAAAAAAATTACATAGATAAAGCCCTTCGTAAAGTGTGAACTGTACTTGTCAAAACAATATTTTATCTCCTTGAGGCATGGGTTTCCAGGAATCTCTTCAATTAGTCTACTGCAATCTTTTCCAACCAGGCCTAGGGCCCCAACTACAACAGGGATTGTTGACGTTCCCATATGTCACAATTTCGAGATTTCTATTTCAAGGTCCTTGTATTTTGACAGCTTTTTGAATATTTTCAAAGATACATTGCAGAAAACAGGGACTGTCATATCAATAAGGAGGCACTTTTTTGTTTCTGGTCTTTAATAACAATATCTGGGCAGTTGGCCTTGATTGTTCTGTCAGTGTGTATTGTGTAGTCCCATAGAATTGTAACAGGTCCTATCTCCGTAACCGGATCTGGGTGGTGTTCATACCAGTTTTCTTTCAGTTTCCTTTCCGGAGAAGTTGCAGATTTTCCAGTGCAGATATTGGCCCACTCTGTCATGTCGAGTTTTATATTCAGTGGGTGCCAATATCGTGCAACCTGATACAAGATGATCAATCGTTTCTGGATATTTATCACAGAATCTGCATTTTGGGCTGACACAATATTTTAGTATATGTGCTTGATAATTCCTTCTTAACAATCATTGGTCCTGTGCAGCAAGGATAAAACCTTCAGTTTCAGCTTTCAACTCTACACTACGTAGCCACTGATGGGTACGGGTTTTGTCCACGTCTGCTTGTTTGGTACGGGCAGAGTATTGGCTATGAAGCGATTTATCTTGCCATCGCTTCTGTATCTGGTCGGTTGCATTAGTCTTTGCTGTCTTTTTTAGGTATTTTGCAGTTTCAGCCGGTGTATTATGCTGTAGTTGCATCTCTACGCCCATTTGAAACTCCATTTTGAATTTGTTGTCTTCTTTCATTATGGAGTAAAGACGCTTACTACTTTCATGTTCCTTGACGCATACCATCATCCAGTCTTCTGTAGTTTCCAAGTATCTTCGGAGGTCAATTGTTGTAGTTTTGTAGGATAGTTCTAGTTGAACTAATCCTCTGCCTCCTTCGGGTCTTGGAACATACAGACGATCAACACCAGCTTTGGGATGATGCATGCGGTAGCAAGTGAGAAGCTTTCTCGTTTTGGCGTCCATTCGCTTAATTTCAGCTATGGTCCAGTTAAGGATATTAAAGCTGTATTGCACCACAGGGACAGCCAATGTGTTTATGACTGATATTCTGGTTTTTTTTAGTTTAACTCAGTATTTAGTACCAGACGTACACGCCCGTAGTACTCTTTTCTTATTTTTCCTTCATTTGTTGTTATTGTTATTATTATTATTATTATTATTATTATTATTATTATTATTTCTCGAAATATTGTTGAATATTTTGAAACACGGTTCCTTTGCCTTTCTTCTTCTTTTCTGAAATCGGGCCCTTCTCTTAAGTGTTAAAAACTATTTGATGACTTACACCCGTCATTTGACTTTTAAATAATAATAATATTCAGACAAAAGATTATCAGCCATAAACAGTTTGGCTATCTTTGTGGGGTAATACAGTTTTAACATCCTGAACTGAACTGACATTGAGCGAATGTATGTCAAAACAAGAAATCTTCTCACCTCCTATTTCATGCATCAAGCTAAGGCCGATGTTGATCCTCTCTATGTGACCAGACCAGAGAAGGACATATGAGATTAGTTGACAAACAAGCTGATGTAGACAAAGCCCATATCCATCAGTACAGGATTTATAGTGAAAACGAAGGTTTTATTCTTGCTGTACAAGAACAATGCTTGCAAAATAGAAAATTTCCCAAACAAGCATACTGTAACATTGCGTCAACCCGAAATGCAGATTCTCTATTAAATATCTATAAACACATGAATTGTCTTGTATCAAATTCCATGGTATTAGAATCAACCAAATATAAATTTCGGCATGATAGGGTGGGCCAATATCTGCACTGGAATATGTATATATATATATATTGTTGAAACTTGACTAATGCATGGAATAATAATGCAAGACAAAATGTACTTAGAACAACATGTATTGAAACAAGAAAGTGTACACAATATTTACATATAGTCTTTTGTATATTCCTGGTAAGACCGTTCCTGGAGAATGTGTTGACTGAGTCGCAGTCGGGCAGAGTCTCTGGTTGAATCTCTTGATTCCTTCCTCTCTTCCCAGTACCAACCATATTTATATGGTCGGTACTCCACTATGCAAATTAGGTGGATCCTACCACAACATATATATAAATCTTGCAGGAAGGAAACTGCAAATAACCCAAACGTGGTTACAGAAATAGAACGTGTGGCAATTTTAGGGTACTTTACAATATACACAGACGGAACAATCAACGCTCATCGCCCAGATAGCGTGATCAAAGAGAACTAAAACAGAATGTTTTTTTTTTCTTATTGACATGACACTTCCTGAAGACTCTAATGCATGTCTGGCGATATCTGAAAAGCTAAGAAAATACAAGGAATTTCAAGTGGAAATCTAAAAGAAAACAAACAAATGGCACATGAAGACATCAATAATTCCGGTTGTGGTTGGGTATCAGAGTTTGATTGAAAAAGTTCTGATATTGGAATCTATCAGAACTTTTTTTTAATCAAACTCCAATCCCTGACCGCCTCTGCCTGAAATAAATAAGAAAAATGTTTCTCATAAGTACGAATCGCAGCCTGTAGTAGGCTTTATCTACGTATAATGTCTGTGATTTTAGATTGTTTATTTTAGTATTATTAGAAAAAGGATCAGTGGAATATATCATTAGGTCTGTGGCTGGGGGCCGAAAGGTAATCAGCACTAACACAGAAAACAAAGAAAATAATAATAACAAAAACAACAGCAACAACAATAATAATAATAATGATGATGATGATGATGATGATGATGATAAGCAAAATGATCCTGGAAAATTGCAGGAGACGATGTAGAAATCTTACCACATCATGGAGAGATAAATCTAAAGCCTTTGATAATGTGCCACACTCTTAGATATTTAAGACTTTGGAAATGTAGAAAATCTCCCCCAATGATAATAAATTTCTTTAAACACAGCATGGGAATCTGAAAAACCACATTATAACTGAATGACACCAGAGACAGGGCCATCTTCAACCGCCTGAATATCTCTCGAACTTTTACGACTTCTGTTGTGTATGTGCTTACCCCCTCCTTACGCATGAACTAAACAATAATAGCTATGGTTACAAACTAAACAAGAAAATATTCAATCACCTACCCTACATGGAGGATCTCAAACTCTTTGCCAAAGACGACAATGGGTTGAAGGGTCTCCTCAATACTGTAAAATGTTTCAGTGACGAGATTAGTATGAATTTCGGATTAGATGAATGTGCAAAAGTAACATTCAAGAAAGGGAGAATTACAGAAACAGACTCAATAGATTTAGATTTTGGCACAAATATTAGGGAACTGGAATAATAATAAGTCTATAAGTACCTAGGAATTAGCAAAGGGGATGGAATACACAGGATTAGTTCAACTAGAATTATCCTAAACAACTACAACAATTGGTCTTCAATGATACCTAGAAACTATAGAAGACTGGATGATGATATGTGTCAAAGAATATCAAAGTAGTAAGCGACTTTATTCTGAATCCAATAACCCAAAATGGAGTTTCAAGTGATTAAGAAATACAACTGAATCAAAATACATACCTAAGTGAAGTAGAAGGTAAGAAAAGGGTAGTACACGTGTGTGCCTTCGATACTGAATGCCGAGCAAAATTCAAAAAACAGGATACCAGCCTTAAACATTTTGGCTGTCACTGTGGTGCAATACAGTTTCAAGATTTTTAACTGAACTATCGGCGACAATAAGCGAATGGACGCCAAAACGAGAAAGCTTCTCACCTGCCATCGCATGCAACATGCCAAGGCAGATGTTGATTGTCTGTATTTGCCCAGATCCGTAGGAGGCGCAGCATTAGTTCAACTAGAATTATCCTAAACAACTACAACAATTGGTCTTCAACGATACCAAGAAACTATAGAAGACTGGATGATGATATGTGTCAAAGAATATCAAAGTAGTAAGCGACTTTATTCTGTAATTAAGGAATCCAATACCTCAAAATGGAGTTTCAAGTGATTAAGAAATACAACTGAATCAAAATACACCGACTGAAGCTGCAAAATACTTAAAAAAGAAAGCAAATGCAACAGACCAGATACAGAAATAATGGTAAGATAAACCGGCCGTATCAAACTCTGTCCGTATCAAACTCTGTTCGTATCAAACTCTGTTCGTATCAAACTCTGTCCGTATCAAACTCTGTTCGTATCAAACAAGCTGATGTAGACAAGAAGAAAAGAAGAGAAACGGTAGTGTAAAATGTATTTGCAAGGAGAAACACTGAAGTGTGGAAGAAGAAAACGAAGAGGAAAAAAGATGGAAAATGTTAATGTAGCGTAAGAAGTATTTGGAAAGAGAAGCATTAAAATGAAGAACAAAAGAAGAAAAAAGGAGGAAGAAAAAGAATAAGAATGGCATTGTAAAAAGAATTTGAAAGGAGAGATATCAAAGTGAAGAAGAAAAAAAGAAATCAAAGAAAAAGAGGAAGAAGGGGGATGGCAGTGTAAAAAGAAGAAGTAAACGAAGAACAAAAAGGAGAATGGCAGTATAAAAAGGTATTTGGAAGGAGAAAATATTAAAGTGAAGAAGAAAAACGAAGAAGAAAAATAAGAGAGATGGAAGTTTAAAATGTATTTGGAAGAGAAACATTAAATTGAAGAAGAAAAGGAAGAAGAAAAGGAAGAAGAACAAAAAGAAGGAGAATGGTAGTATAAAAAGGTATTTGGAAGGAGAAAATATTAAAGTGAAGAAGAAAAAAGAAAACAAAAGGGAACAAAAAGAAAAAAATGGTATTCTAAAAAGTATTTGGAAGGAGAAACATTACAGATACGAAGAAAAAAAACAAGAAGGAGGTTAACAACAGTAATGTAAAAAGCTGATTTTTTTTTTAATGTTTAAAAGGAAAATAAGAAATGTGGACTAATGTATTCTTTTAAGTGAAGACATATTTCCGCCATTGTTCTCCGAGATATCGACTTTTATAACAATGTCTTTTTAGCGCTTAAACGGAGTAGTGTATATTGTTTTCTATTTTAATTTCTTTTAACATTCGCGTAATTTCATTTAATCAACGTTTCTCAAATCAATTTATCTTTTCAGTTTACGCTTTTCTTCTTCGCAACGAACCTGTCGACATGTTTAATTTCAGACTCAAAGAATGGCTGTAAATTTCGCTTGACTCTCGTGGATTCCATGGCAACTACGAAAAGCCCATTTTTCTGTTAAGACCTGTCATTCTTCCCTATTTTCTACCATCTAAGACTCCGACTCAAAATATAAAAGAAAGAAATACATCCAATGTCACCATTGACCTACATGTAGGCCAAACATTGGGCTGTATATAGAATTCCTTTCGTTGGAATTGGAGTCTTCTGATAATTATTGATGCAGTTTAGTAGAAATATGGATAATATTGCAAAGAATATTGGACAAAAAAGAGATGAAAGTCTTTGATTCTTGAATTATTTCCTCATGAAAAACGTTGATGGGTGCTGTAGAATATTTTTGTATTACCCACTAATATATCTTGATTGTTGTTGTTGTTTTTGCTTTTTTTTTTTTTTTTGTTTTTTGTTTTTTGTTATATACTGGTCGATATGCGCACGGATTGCAGTGAGTTCCGACAGGTGACAGGTCAATCTGCGAGACATTTTGGTGCACGTTTGGTAATAATTTAATGCTGTTTTTTATCATTATTATTATTATTATTATTATTATTTCCTTTGATTTCTGGTGAGTACACATTTCTTTCCGGCTCCCGCCCAGAGACCTAATACTACAAATGGTATCATGACATTTTACACTGACAAAAAAGAAAACATATTTTACATAGACAAATGCTTCGTAAGGTGTGGGTTGTACTCGTGAGGATTTTTTGTATTTCTTTAAAGCATGGGCTTCCAGGAATCCCTTCAATGAGTCTACTGAAATCTTTTCTAACCAATCCGAGGGCTCCAACTATAACAGGGATTGTTGATGTTCCCTTTGTGCCACATTTTTTATATTTCGATTATTATTATTATTATTATTATTATTATTGTTGTTGCTGTTGCTGTTGTTGTTGCTGTTGCTGTTGTTGTTAATCCTAATATAACAGAAAACAATATGCTTCAGAAAAGTAAACAAGATTGATTGTGATCAGTGCCATGTTAATAACTTTGTAATGCGCACAGAATGGTGAGCAGAATAGAAAAAATGAAACAATGCAGGAATTATTTTATTATTATTATTATTATTAATGTTTTTATAACTTTGTTATTAACTAGTATAACTATCCCGTCAAAACTGACGCCAAGAAGGAATGTATTATAAGTAATATGAATTATATTGTAATTTTCGTTTAATCCAATAACAATATTGTAATTTATAATAGTTCATTGTTAACGTTAATAATTGAACCGTATATAATTTATAAACACCTAAAGAAATGTACAATATTTTAGTGTAAACATTATTACTTTGAGTAATACTTGACAGTTTGTAGATTTAATCTGTAATTTCAGAGTCTGCTTATTTCTCGTCCTACTAAGAGCAACGTATCATCAGATATTTTTTTAATTTATTTTTATTCTCAGGCTATTACCAAATTCCACAAGATATGGTGTGAATCGTAACAGAAAAACTACATCATCTGATTATTTAATTGCATGTGCTTTTATTTGCTATCATAAATAATATAAATGAAGGATGTAGTGTGAATAAAAAATAAGCTTTCGATGAATTATAGATTATTACAAGAATTGCCCCCCCATCTTTTTTTTTTTTAATTATCATTTTTAACGTTTAAAAGAAATTTTTAAAAATGAAGAAGTTTTCTCGAAGATACATGTGTCGTAATATATATACGATCCCTTTTCGAGAGAGATATCAGTACACGTCAACGGGACCATGTTAGTAGATCACTTAGTGGATCATCGTTATTTTGCACACTACTCCTGAATTGTTACACACAAAATTACGTAAAATATATATATATATATATATATATATATATGTGTGTGTGTGTGTGTGTGTGTGTGTGTGTGTGTGTGTGCGCGTGCGTCTGTGTGTGTGACACATCATATATATATATATATATATATATATATATATATATATATATATATATATATATATCAGATGCAATCTCTCAAAAAGGATATGATAATTGATAGGCAACATCAATTTTAAATAATTGGGGAATTTTTGAGGTCTGGTGTTGTCGGTGTTTTTGTAGTATATGATAAATTTTCCATATTTTTAGGCGCATTGTGTGACAATTTATCGGTGAATTATTTCTTTAATTTGTTTATCATCCTGTTTATAATTAGGATGTATTCGATTAAGATAGAATAAATTAATGGCGTATATTTTATTTTTCCTGGTGAGGCCTCCTTCCTAATAGCCGTTAAACATGACTTCCCCGTAGACTATATGAAACTTCTGGCTTTCCAAAGAATACAAGGATGTAGACATGTAGAATTCTACCCATTACACAGACTCTACAGTCTAACTTGAAAACGACTAAAATGGTCGAAAGTATTTGAACAACACAATCACATGGTCACTGGACAGTTAATACACAATTTCAGCAGAAAACTGAATATCTTATTTGTCTTGTGTTTTAATAAAACTTATTTGGATAAATAATTTCTGCGTAACTGTACTTTAATCATGCATACAGAGAGCGATGCGTAAATAGTCGCCATCTTACATTTTTAATTCCGCGCATGCGCATTGTTTGTTCTTGATTTTGTCAACTGCAGTGTATAGTGGGGTCAGTTAGGCACCGTCTGTGAGAAAAAGTGCACCATGACGCAATTCACTTCACCAGAAATTTGGAAAAGGCAATCAGTTCTGCTTGGCATTCGCGTCTGAAGCTCCAATAGGGAAAATTCAGTCTGTTTGGCTATCAATCTATGGACAGTGCAGATTCGAAAAAAAGTTAGACGAATCTAATGATGATTATGAAGACACGGCAGCTCGAAAAACTCACACTGTTTCTGATAAGAAAAGAACTTCAGGATTTGTTGCTGAGGACCTCAGACTCAATACCGTGACCTACATCAAGTGCCTTGACGTGGTAGTACTGCCCTGGATCAAGAGAGTGATTGCTAGAAGACCCTATGTCTAGCAACAGGACTCTGCACCTTGCCAAACTAGTAGAAGTGTGTTAGATAATTTCTTCGACAACATCACCCCTTACATATGGCCACCTAACTCCCCAGACTGCAACCCCCTTGGTTACTATGTTTCGGGCACAACTGAGCGAGAAACCAATAAAACTCCTTGTAAAACCAAAGATGAACTAAGTGTAAGGATTATGACAGCATTCACCATTTTAAGCAAGGAGACTGTCCAGAAGAGATGCAGGAGATTCTGACATCATCTGGAGGCCGTGTTTGAAGCCAATGAGGATTTTATTGAATAAGTTTATTCTTTATTTTTTCAAGATATTTTAACATAAATTTGATAAATATATCTGCTAAAATAATATGTCATTATTATTTTCATTCTTGGGTAATTTAGATGACAATTTAGCTATCGCAACCTATATATATATATATATATATATATATATATATATATATGTGTGTGTGTGTGTGTGTGTGTGTGTGTGTGTTATGATATATATATATATATATATATATATATGTGTGTGTGAGTTATGTTATATATATATATATATATATATATATATATATATATATATATATATGTAGAGTTAGAGAGAGAGAAGGAGAGACAAATAGCATTTCTTCGGTCAGGTGAGACAAAAATTGATCTACTTGAGTACTATTTATTACAGTTTTTATAGTACATTCGGATATAAGTCGGATAAAATTAAAACTGGCAGTCGATCGCAAAAAATTACCCCAATCAGTTGTTAACTGGGGCAAGAAATGTACTGTAAATTTTAATGCTTCAAGAAAGTAACTGCTATCTTTTAATCATCATAGAGAACCATGGCTGCTGCTAATCTCCATTAGTGGAACTACTTCTTAGCCTCGTGTTTTCCATTGGAAGGATGCAGTGTAGCTATACTGAATCAATTGCTAGAGCTGCTGATAGGAAAGTTCATTTACTGCGTCATTTCACACTATATTTCTTGATATAATACATTTTACGCAGTTGTAAATCTAGCCTTCATCCGTTCATTGAATATTGTTGTAATTGAGTGTAGCAGCAAAATTGCCTAAATCGTGTAACAGTATTGCATAACTGTCCCTCCGATAAAATGTTTAATATCTAAAAAAAAACCACTAAACTCATTGAGTTTCTGTTTTCCAGTTTTTCAGATAACACGTTTAGCCATCTTGACACTAATTTTTGTAAGAATCACTAAAAAAAACCTTTGAGCTATTCAGCTAGAAAGAGAGCAGGTTAAATCGTTTTTTGTCAGTCCCACTATAGTTTCCAAAGAGAGAAATGGTGAGAGG